ATATGCCCCTGGTATAGCACATAATCTCTCAGTGTCAGCTGAGTGAGGGATGCGCTTTTCTTTACTCCTGTGAATGCACAGTACCTGTGGTTTCATTTACATTGGTTCATCCTATTCATTTAGGGAACAAAGTTTCACAGTATGATATGTATCTTAAAGAAGCTGGGGTGGGAATTTTTGGCTATCCAGTGTAGACTTTGAGCCTTCTTACCTTACAGTTTCCCAGCTCCATCAACTGGCTTCTGTGCTTGGATCCATCCCTGCAGTTTTGTCTACTATGTCACACAGTTTTAAGGTATTCATCCCAGAGGTGTAAATGTTGAAACAGCAACATCGGTGTCAGTGTGATGTTTTGAATTTCTGTGAGTGCATAGAAAAGCCTCAGGATATGAGATGATGATATGCACTGAAAAACACCTTTCACTGAAGAGAAGAGTCATCCAGAGTATTGCCAGCAAGTGCTGGAAAAATTTCATCCTGGGCAGAACTGGGTGACAGGTTCCTACTGCTTCCCTGCCTGAGGGACAGGAGAAGGAGGAGGTCTCCTGGGACACAACACCAAGAGAGTCACTAAAGGAAGCTGAAGTCCCCGCAGCACTGGTTTGCTCCAAAAGCAGAACCACCGTGTGCTTTCTTTGGTGCCTTCCCGCGTGCCAGGAAGGAGACACCCACTCCTGGACACCGGGGGCTGGATAACAGCAGCCATCCTCTTGCTGACAAGGCAGACGTGCCATACAGGAGGGTGGAGGTCCACCTCTGCTGACTCCTCCTGCCCTCAGCCAGTCGTTCTGGCCCCGTCCGCCGTTGGATCGCTGCCTGTGGCCAGCAGAGCACGTGCCTGCGCCACCGCGCTTTTTGAAGGTGGCAGAAAACTGACGGATCAAAAGTTTAGCCCAGAGGCTGCTGTCAGTTTGCTCGAGCGAATAACTTCATACAGCTTTCAGAGGTCGGTGGGATCTCCGTGGGCAGGAGGGAAACATAAATAAACAGGGAAGGTTGTTTTTTTCTGGAGAGAAAGGCTGGCTCCTGTTCCTGGGCCTCCTAGCTGGGTGTAGACAGGGAAACAGGAAGGGCTGTAGGGCTGGAAATGAGAGGAAGCAATGGGGCCCAGTGCTGGACTGGGGCAGATAAGAAGGAGGAGACCACAAAAAGTACAAGGAAGGGGAGGACCTGTCACTGGGCACTGCAGACCAAAGCCATTCGCATGTAATTAAATCTAATGTATATATATTTACACAGTTCAGATGTCTATCCATCTGTCCATCGTATATTCACAGAATCACAGACTCACAAAATATGCTGAGTTGGAAGGAACCCATAAGGATCATCAAGTCCAACCCTTAGCCCTATTTTGCTACGCTACACCACACAGAAAAAGCCAGACCAGATCCCTAAGTGTCCGCTGAAGTGACCAGAGCTGTCTGCAAGGCACCCCGTACCAAGACATGAGAATCTGTGTTTGAACACTTTATCCTGGTGTTCCGTAATTCACTAAACCAAGACCAAGAGTTTTAACCAACTGCTTTTAAATTAACTTTATTGCAGTTCAGACAGGCAGCTTTCCGTTTCCAGGCCATGGGTTTAATAAACACACTGGGCTCATGTCTGAGTTCACAGAGGATAACCTGTAAGCACTGAGTGACAGATTTGCCACTTATTTTAAGAGATAGTAGAAATCCCAGTTGCTGGAATCGATGCCAAAGCTTCTCTCCTTTAAGGTTTTATTTGTAAACTCTCAGTTCCTTACCCTGGGAAGTCAAGGACAGGGGAGAGGGTGGGTGAGAGGTAACTTTCTCCAGAATTTTGTTTTAATGATGCTCTGTTTATGTGATGATTTGGACTAATGTGAAACCTTGACATTCTTTCTTTCAATGTTGTATTGTGTGAGTTCGGTTTAGTTTCCTTTTTTGTCCCTGTGCTTAACAAAACACAAGTGCTGGTTGGTACTTAAGAACAGGGTCCTGAGATGAAATGGAGGTGATTTTTACTTTGAAAGCTCAGATATGGCTTTTATAGTTCTGCTGTGCTTCAGATAGGCTGGGACTGCAGTGCTTTATCCTGGATTTTGGGAAGTAGGAGGATTCAAAAGGGATCAGTCCAGCCTCTCTCCCACAACCTCCTAAGAAAACAGATGCTGGTCCCTAAGTAAGCAGCAAGGGGGACAGGGTAGAAAGCATTGTCAAAGGGAAGCTCTATTTCCACTTGTCCTGGGCTGGCTCTGGAGTCGAGGGCTCACAATTTCCAGACATTCAGGAGTGTGGGTGAAAACACTGTGGGGTCATGAGGTGGAGAAAACGTTCCAGTTTTGCTCCTGCCTTCCTTTGGTGATGCTGGCAAAAGGGAGAGGGCACTTCTCACCTCAGAATGATGCCCTCAGACCTTGCCTTTGACCTCGGTGCTGGGCTTTGATACCACCACAGGGCTGAGCCCCGGGCAGGGGTCCAGGGAGGGCTCCTGGTCACAGACCGCCGGGCAGGAGACAGGCAAGAGGGAGCTCTGGCTCCAAGTGTTGATCTGGTGACTTGGCATCCTTAACTCAATTCCAGGTTTGACCTGTAAGGACAAAGAGACCACATGCCTGGCAGCGACTGTGCTCTGCCTCCGCGCCAGGCTGCCGGCGGGGGGCTTGTTCTTTTTTGCTCAGGGTTTTATTTTTAGGTAGAGACCAGAGATGTGACGGTGCAGGGAGGCACAGGCAGGGCTTCACCCTCTAGAGCACAGACAGCACTTGAATATGTGATTTCACAAGAATTTGTCTTTCCTGAAATGCACAGATTAAACCTTTTGGAGCAAATGTTTCTTAATTGCTCAGCTGTGTCACGAACAAGGTTTTCCCTGGCTGGCTGATTGTCACTGTGATTGTCATCATCATCATCGTTATTCCACTGCCTCATGCAGCCCTGGCACATGCAGGCACCAGTTCACCTGGTGTTTTCTATGCCTAAGCCATAACACTCCTCATTCCAACAAGCTCTCACTCCACAGAGACAGAGCAATGGGAGAAGGGGACTGTCAGCTACCTTTTAAAGTCTAGTTACAGATAACAGAGCCATTGCTCCTTCTCAAGATCACCTGCAAGGTCACTGCAGTACCCCTGCTTAACCACTTAGTTCAATTCCTGGAAAACTTTATTCCAATTCCTATGGATCCCTAAATACATCATCCTAAGGAGCATAAGTGCTTCCTTTTGTGCTAGAGTTCAGTGGACATCCATAAGTCAGTAACTGGATTTGCAGCAGCCTGGTCTCAGTCTGGGCAATGTGTGTCCTTGGTGGTGTGGCCACTCACCAGCTGTTGTGGTCCAACCCTTCTTGGATCATTTAAACCTGTTGATCTGCACTTCTCATGCCCAGAGCAGTTACATTTAGTGGGTGATTGTCGTCTTGAGAAAGATTTAACTGAACAGGCCCTCTCAGAGACAAAATTCTTGGGACTTGCATCCTTTTTGCTAAGCTTCTGGAAGCACATGACAAAAAAGGTTTTTGAGCAAATTTCCCACTTGAAAAAACCTGACAGGTAACCAATACCATGAAGTTTATTCTCATTAGTGATAGGAGAACACCACAAGTGCTACCTAATATTTCTGGTCTCTGCCTGCATAAGCAATACCCACAATTATACTGCATCACTCTTTTCCAGGACAAACAATTAGATTTATTCCCTTATAATTCAGACTGTCCCTACAGGTATCCATTCACTAACCTCACAGGGATCTGGAAAAGTATTAAAGGCATAAATGCCTGACAGAGGAGGGTCCTCATGTAGGGTGTCTGTGGCCCTGGTTTTTAAAATGCCTTTACAAGAGCAGCTGCTCTTGTAAACCTACTCCCCTGCTGACCCTGGGGAAGTCCTGTCCATCTGATGCTTTAACAGCATTTCATACTGAAGCATTTCTAAATTCTTGTACAGGTTTGGTGTGATTATGTCAGGAATGCATCCATAAAAACCTCATGAGGTTCAACAAGGACAAGTGCAAGACACTGCACCTGGGTCAGAGCAATCCCCTCTATCAGGCTGGGGGGATGAATGAATTGGGAGGAACCCTGATGAGAAGGACCTTGGGACACTGATGGATGAAAAATTGAATGTGACCCAGCAATGGACACTTGCAGCCCAGAAACCCAACTGCATCCTGGGCTGCAGCACAAGCAGTGTGGCCAGCAGGTCAAGGGAGTTGATTCTCCCCCTCTACACCATTCTTGGGAGACCCCACTTGCAGTACTGCATCCAGCTCTGTGGTACCCAGGACAGGAAGGACTTTGACTTGTTGGACGGAGTCCAGAGAAGAGCACGAAGATGGTTAGAGGGCTGGAGCACCTCTCCTATGAAAATAAACTGAGAGAGTTGAGGTTGTTCCTCCTGAGAGACTTTACTGAGGCCTTTAAATACTTGAAGAAAGGAGACTTTTAAGAAAGATGAGGTCTCTAGTGACAGGACAAGGAGTAATGACTTTAAAATGAAAGAGGGCATGTATAGATTAGATATAAGGAAGAAACTATTTACTGTTAGGGCAGTAAGACATTAGAACAGGTCACCCAGAGAAGCTGTGGATGCCCCATCCCTGGAAGTGTTCAAGGCCAGTTTGGATAGAGCTTTGAGCCAGCTGGTTTAGTGGAAGGTGTCCCTGCCCATGGCAGGGGGTTGGAACTGGATGATCTTTAAAGATCCCTTTCAACCCAAACCACTCTATAATTCTATGAATTTAATGAGCTAACCAAATGAATCTATTAGTCAGTCCCAAAACTGCTTGCCGAGTGCCCAGGAGTGTGGCTGGGACTGAGCTGAGGGCTCCCATGGAGAAGCAGAGGAATTATTTGTGCTAGTGGGCTCTTGCAGAGCTCCCTGACCTCCATCGCGTCGTCTTTCCTTGAGAGTTAATCTCTTTTATGAAATTTGACATTGAAATGCCTTCCTTATACAACAGATTATGGTTGTAATTAGCTACAGGATAAATAAGACTGTGTTGAGTATTACACCAGACTTCTCCTTTATTCTGTCAGTGAAGCATATTTTTCCCTTATTGCTTCTCCCAAATCATCATGAGACTTTTGTAAGGAGAATGTTTGCGCAAAAAGCTGTGGGCAATTGCTCTTGAAAAGATTCTTGCAGTTACTTAATGCTGTGAAAGGGCAAAACTGAAATGCTATTTAAATGTATTTTCATGCTAAATTAGAATAATGAAACTTCCTCTAGATGCCCTGGCACTGAAATCAGAGACAACTTACTCTACCCAGGTAAACTGTGCAGGCTGGGAGCAGCTCCTCAAACATGAGGAATGGAGGTTATCAGTAGAAGTATTGCTTTTGATATTTTAGGTGGTTGTTTGTTTTTTAAAAAATTAAATTAAAATTCTGTCGTCTGTTTCCCTTGAAGACTAACTTTTAATATGTCATAAGATGGGGGCAAGAGGATTCTTGATGGGAATCAGGGAAGCTCCCAGTGAATAAGAAGGTTACAGGTTCAGTGGCCCAACATGAGGAGAGCGGAGAGGGTCCTTATTCAGCAAAGTGAAGTGACATTCCCTGAGGATCATCAAGGAGACAGAAGACATCACAATTTTGTGGTACAGCATCCTCAGGCTCCTTGCCTGCCGCATCTCCCATCCTCCCAGCTCCTAAAATCACCTAAAAACCACAAGCCTTTTGCCGTGAGTAGCTGCTGCAGTCGGCATCCTCTTGTATAACCGGTGTCATTTTTGTCTCTTTCGAGAACACTCTGTAAACAAACCCTTTCCACTGTGAAAAGCCATTAGTTCAGGCAATGCTATGCCTCTGAGCAGAAAGTCCCAGCGCTAGCCAGGGACCAGAGCCGGTATTTTCTGCGTGGCGTGTGCCCTTGTGGTTCCGGATTGCACAGCTCTGGAGCAGCGTGTGGCCGGGCTCGCCATATGTGCTGCGGTACCCGCACGCCGAGCGCTCCCTCCCGCACAGCTCTGCCCGCCCCTCCTCGCCGCCCGGGCTGGAGCAGAGCTGGGGCAGCACTCCAGCCTCTATCTGCGGCTTCTTAATTGTAAATATGTCAAAATTCCATCCCCCCCAACCTTGACCCTACCAGTGTCCTCAAGGTTAAGTTTGCAAGTATGAGATGCTGAGGTTGATGATATTTCTCCCTGTATGATTCACTCCCAAAACCTCCTTATCCGATTCGTGAAGAAAATAACCTGGAGTTGTGAGAAGAGAAATAGGGTTAGAAAGCCCAGACGTGCAAGGAAGAGGAGTGATAGCATTTTCCAGCTCTGGTAAATACAAATAACCACAAGCAAAGGATGGGATCTCAGCAGCCCCGGGACAGGGGTATCCCCCTGGTATGCATGGCCCAGTATAAATGCTAACACTCATCTTTGGTGTGTGTTGTTATTTATAATAATAAATATATTATATTTATTACATTTGTGTGTATTATATATGAGTGTGTATTACATATGGGTGTGTATATATATATAATATATATTATCTATATATAAAAAGGGTTGTGGCTTTTCTATATACATGTATATTTGTGTATATATATGTGTATATTTATACATATATTTGTGCATATGTATATATGCACAACATATATGTGTGAATATACATATACATATGTAAAAGTACATGTATCTCTCTTTTCTTCTTGATGATGTCTAAAGAACATCACTTCTCTTTGCTGGACACAGTCCATCCCCAGTTTTCCTCCTGCTGAGGCTCCTGAACCTGAAACCAGCCTTATTTCTCTACTGGGAGCCAAGACCTGCCCTGATTCCCATGAAGTAATCCTCCTTCCTCTGTCTTGTGACACTTAAAAAGTTAGTTGTCAAGTGAAGAAGGTTATGATAATTAAAAAAAAAAAAAGTCCAAAATATTATAAGAAATATGTCTACTGATATTTATATAAACACACTCGCACACATATGGAAAACCCCAGCCCAAACCACAACCCTGCACTATATGACAGAACCTCCCACCTGGCTCAGCAATAAGCTGCTATCCTGATTATCATTTCACAATTCAGAGCACCTCACCTCACGTCAGATGTATATTTTCCTGTCGTACAGCTCACCTGAGGCTACGTAAACCTCACTGAGCTGCTGCTGCTGCCTGTCTCAGCAATGGGAATATAACTTAATGATTCACTCCTCGCCTGGACCAACATGTCAGCCCCTCCTGATCGTACGACTTGTTTAACCTCTTAGGAATAGGAGCTACCCTGACACCTGATGTGTCACATCAGCTATCAGGATGCAAGAGAGAGATCTGGCTGCCCCATCTCCATAAATCCTTGATCTCTGTAGCAGGGCTGTCACTTCTCCCTGCAGAGACTGTAATTTCGGGTTTGCTTTGAGCTGGCTGCAGTACACCTTGGGTTTGATATCTTCATCACAAGTCGGAGTCTTTGTGCCAGCCCGGGATGGTGTTGCTATGACTGCTCACGATGATGTTGTAAGATGTCCAGTGAGGACTTCAAGGCCTTTGCAGATGCTCTTTAATGAAGCCCTGTAGTGAGATATAAGGTAAACAAGCATCATTAAATGTCTGCACAAACATGAGGAGAAGTTATTGCTGGATAAGACCACCCCTTAAGGCCCCACCTTTGAATAGGTCCAACCAGGATGGGGCAGCCCCCATGTGCTGCCCCACACATTAGAAAACACTCTCTTTTAACCAAATTGACACCTCTATGGCAGCAAAGTGGCCATAAATCATAGCATTAAAGCCTCAAGACCCGTGCTGCTGCTCTAAATGCAGCAGGCAGCAAGGGCAACCCACTGCTGCCCATTCACCTCCACATCAGGGCATGCCCTTCCTTCTGCTCCTCTGGGACAAGAAAAAAACCTAAAAAATAGCCCAGCCTGGGAAAATCCCACTTTCCAAAATGGTAAATGCCACCTATCGCAAGAACTTCCCCCTTTTCACCCACACAGTTTTTGTTTCCATGGAAACATGACCAGTAAATCAGCTGGCCAGAGGCAGCCCAGGAGTGGGGAAACCCCTGGGGAGGTTTCTATACCTGAAAACTACAAGGAGTTATTTGCAAAACATGGGCTTTTTGTTCCTTTGGGGCTCCAAACTCTCTCAGAATGTTTAAATGCAAATAAAAGATGAATAAGTTTCCTATACCTAATAATAAGCACACAGTTTAACAGCTAAAAGTTCCCGCCTGAACCTGAGTGACATTCTGGACAATATCTGCTTCAGGTAGACATTCTGGTGCATGGTCTTGTCCCTTGGGCCAGGGGCAGATTTTGGGAGTTTGGGGGTAAAAGTAGCACTAGGGTGGTCCCTGCTTTTGGCATGAGCCCTTTGGGGCAGCTCAGAGCTGTCACCCAGGAGAGGGGATGCTGCCTATGCCCCCATGGCCTTGGCTGCCCCTTGCTGGGACTCATCTGTCCCCAAAGCAGTGACAAGGCACCCCATGTCTCCCATACAAGCATCATGCAGCTCAGTATTCAAGGGCCAGTTCAAAGAGATTATCCTATGGATCTGGCAGCTTCCATGCCACGTAGGCTTGTACACTGACAGATCTATATAGTGAGTGATATAGGACATAAACAGGTGCATCCAAGTATTTAAAGAAAAGGTAGAAGAGATTGTAGCTTAAAAAGCCACAAATTTTAAATATTTTAAATCCCTTTAGTGACAGAAAGCACTGGTAAGTGCAGGTATGGGCCAGCCCTGGAAACCAGAAATCACTTCTGATCCTTCAGAAAGAGTGTCCAGCCTCAACCAGATGCACCACTGTCCCGTGCCATCCCATCACAGGGAAAACAGCCTGACGTGATGCACATGGAGGCAATGCCATTGTTTTGACCAACCAGCAAAGACACTCCCCAAAGCATTTGTTCAGCACACCCTTTCCCCAGAATGTATCACCTGGGATGGCTCTATGCTGGACACTCGGGCCAGCAAGGCTGAGAAAACCTCAGCCCCTGGATGCACATTGTTGCCGGCCTTCCCACTCGCTGTGTTTAATTCAGGAATCCAATTATATCACTTTTAAATCCCCAAATCTTGTGCTCTTTCTCCTGTGCACATCTCCTCTCCAGTCCTGATCGATATTTCCAAGCCTCTTACCAGGGAGCAGACCGCAACTGCGCTGCAGGATTTGCTCTCACGCCGCTGAAGCAAAGCTCTTCCCTGCTGCTACCCACGAGCCTGCCGTGCTGGTCAGGAGAAAATCACCCAGGGGGTGGAGGGGTCTAGTCCACCTCTCTGTTGCTAGAAAATTAAAATTAAAAGCCAGATACGTGCCTAAAGCCGGCGGTGGCTGGCAGGCAGAGGCGTGTGCTCCCTCTGCCGTCGCGGCCGCAGCAGTGATGGGCTGCGGGTAGGGCTCTGCGTGCCGGGGTGCACAAAGCAGGGAAGGCAAGTCGAGCCAAAGGCCTTGTTTTCCCCGGTAAAGTAGGAGCCTTAGTAGCTGGTGGGGATTCTCTCTGCCTGGGCAGCGACGTCAGGCTGCAATGCTCCTGGGAAGGAGAAAGGCAAGATGGAGGAAATGGCTGTAAGGGAGCTGTAGGGACAAAGGCATGATATGGTGATTGCCCTGGAGCCCCTTAGTCATGTTAAATCTGTGTTTTAGAGCAACGTTCGGCGGTTCAAAGAACAGATATTTGGAAGCTGGCAGGATCAGTAGGTACCTGCACAGAGGGAAGTTTTATTCTGAAAGGCTTTGCAAGCACGCTCCGGCTTGTATGAGGATTGCTGCTTGTCTTAGAGAGGCTGTAGCATCAGTAAGAAGACAGCTGGAGGAAGGTGGTGATTTTAATTCCCCTTAGCTCCCCTGCAGCATCAACCCAACCAGCCCTGAGGGTCTCTGCTCTCCCATGCAAAAGATTTAACCTATAACCACGTATTGTGTGATCTGTCATAAGCGTCAGGACATGTCGGGGATGGAGGCAGAAGCGTAGGCACAGCCCTGCCCCTCTCACCACCTCCCAGGGCTCGTCTCACAGAGGTGCCTGTCCTGAAAGCAGGCAGAGACTGAGCACTTCTCATACTCTTTTGTGATGCAAGTAAGTGGCCAAGCCCACTGGCTGAAACACCATGAACCTTGTGGCAGCTAAAGTAGTTTACTAATTCTGTACCTTAAAGGAAGCATCAACCTTTGCCTTTCCCATCACCAGATCCCCTATGAGCTGTAAACCACATCTTGTTCAGCTGTAAACCAAAAATTTTGGGCTCCTTGAAGTTACTGTTTATGAATTTGTAAGTTGACTTATGATTTGTAAGTCAAAAGTGTTGGTGCGAGGAACACCCCCAGGGATAGGGCAGCTACAGCACCTCTGGACAACCTGTTGCATTGCCCTCACAGTAAAGGATTTTTTCCAAATATATAATTTAAATCTCTATTCTTTCAGTTTAAAGCCACTACCCCTTATCCTGTAACTACATGCCCTTATCAAAAGTCCCTCTCCAGCTGTCTAGCCCCTTTAGGTACTGGAAGATCTACCTGGAGTTTTCTCCAGGCTGAACAACCCCAACTCTCTCAGTCTATCTCCATAGGAGAGGTGCTTCAGCCCTCAGAGCATCTTCGTGGACTCCTCTGGACCTGCTCAAGCAGGTCCATGTCTTCCTTATACAGAGTCATTTGTACCACTGTTTATCTCACCTTAAAAATATTTTCCATTCTTGTCTGGCATTTAGGGTTTTCCCCTGGCTCAGGACACCCAAAGCTGCTGTGTGTAGCAGCAAAGTGTGACAGCACAGGAGAAATACTTCCCATTACAGCTTAGTGTTGTGTATATAATGTGACACTTACTGTATCTTTATTTCAAAAAGCCTTCAAATCAGGGCTGTGTCTTGCACCCAAAAGTGCTGGTGGTCACCTCTGCTTCCCCAGACAGGCTGTGGAAGTGACATTTCTCCTTGTGGATGGGGTGATGGGAAGGACACAAGTTCCTGCAAAGCTCCCCCGTGCCTTCAGCGCCAATCCCATCAGAAAGGACCCGGAGGACAATGGCTGGGGACACACATGCATGTTTTCTCTAAGTGGGGAGGATGGCAAAATTGGCAAGGGGCCAGCAGGAAGTATTTGTAAACACTTTGTAAATGATCCAATTTTCCTGAGCATCTGTTCACGACTCACTTGCCAGCTCCATGGATCCAGTGCTGGTTGCTCAAATGGCAAAGGCTGGAAAAATCCCAGACTCGCTGTGACTTCGATCCCGTCACCAAAGCAATTAATTCACAACAGCTTCACTCTGACAATGAGAGGTCCTTAAAATAACAGAACTCGTTGTTACAGAAGTGCTTCCATTATTATTGCATTGCTTCTCAGGAAAATGTGCTCCAGCCTACGGACATTTCCAGCTGGCCTTTCCTCAGCATCCTTTGCTGTGGCAAGGGGAGGTCTGCATTCCTCCAGGAAAGATACTGACAGCAGTTTAAGTAGGTGCCTTTACCATGCTGGAGATAGGGCTAACTATGTCTAAAACCTAACTCGGTCCTAGTTAAGACAGCAGCAGTGGAAACAAGTTTTTTCCATAGGGGGTTAAACATTGCAGCAAGGTTGACACAGTTTCTAGGTGTTTGGATAAAGACTGAGCTGAGGAGTTGGCAGCAGCCTGTCAAGATGAAATGACCTCTTGTAATCTCTGATTTCTGTGTCCTGCTATGCCCTTTTCCATTGAAAGTCATCAGCTCTTCAAAAAAAAAAAAAAAATTCAACAAAGGGTTTCTTCTTAATAGAAAACCTGGAAGGAAAGCACAGGGACATCAGGCTCCACAGACATGAGTGAGCAGCGATGATCCAGTAGGATATTTAGTGCTACAGTCCCAGCTACATCTTCATCTGCTTTATTTTTTTTCCTCTTTAGATTGGGTTGGAATGCCAGGACTGAATCTCCATTGCCAGCATATATTGGAACCCTCTACGGGCAGCCTGGATCTGCAGGCAGGACAGTTTGAGTAGACAGGAGCAGCACTGGTTCCTCACCCCAGGTTGGTACATTCTCCCAAAGACCACAAGGTGTTTCCTGTTTCCTACTGCCACCCAGCAATTTCACCTGAAAAATTCCCTATTGCAGAAGGATGCAATGATGTTAGGGATGCCTTTCATTCCCACTTTTCTCTCACTCCAGAAAATTAGTGCTAGTGTGAGAAATGAGCTCAGACATTGCCCCAGGGTCAGCATCACCGTGTGTCTGCCAGCCTTTGGCAAGTGAGGCACTGCCATCACTACCCACCAAACCGTGCTTTCTCACCCTGGCCTGGGGTTTTCAGAGGTGATATATTAATGGTTTTTTTCCCAGGCAAAGATGACCCCGTTCATGGCTCCTCATTTATTTGTCCTCATGCTAATAATTAGAGCAGAGAGAGGCCGGGCGAGCACGCCTGGCATGCCCAGTGCCTGGGAAAGCAAAACCCTCCTGCCTCAGGGAGGGTTTCATCAGCCAAAGCAGAAATTGCTAAAAGAAGAATTAAAAAAAAAAAAAGAGCCTGCAGCCCTTAGATGGGCTGTGTCTGTCTCAAGGACAAAACGTCTCTCCCCACAGTTCCTGATACAGAAAGGGAAGGTCACATCTCCATCAGAAAGAAACAACAGAAAAGACATGGAGGGGAGAAATTATGGTGTGTTGGGTGAACAGTATAGGATCTTTGCTAAAAACAGAAGGTGTCAGAGGTTCTGACTCCCCTCTCATACGTCACCATCATCAGGAGCTGTTTACCTGGATTTAACAGGATGATCTATTTAAACTGAGAGGGAAAATCTGTTCCTAACTGAATTACTCAGGAAAGCCCGTTGACTTCTTTTTATGCAAGCTCCTTTGTAAATGAATTCTGGAGTTGAAAAGCCCATCCAGCCTTCAGCCTGGCCTTGCTTCACTGACTTCATGGTTTTGTGGGTTACTTTCAGGAGTTGTGGGATCGCCTGGGTGGCCTCCTTGCTGTGAGGATGTTCCAAGGGAATTAGTCACACCATTGCCATCTTTGATTGCCTACACTAGGGTGTGGTGGGTTAATGAAACTGAGATTGTGTTATTATTTTCCTGGTAGCTCTTTCACTCTTATCACCTCCCTTATTTCCTGCTGGTAAAACAGATATGAAAATATTTGATTGGTTGGTTAGAGAACAGCTCATTGCCACAAGAGACCAGTAGTGTGTCACTTTACCTGCTAGAAATCCCGAGCCTTTATGCTTAATGTATCTTGGGGCCTTTTGGGTTCATCAGTGCAATTTTTTTTCTTCTAGTTGTCATTAATCTGCTTATACTTGGCTTTGTGATCTTGATTTAAAACCAGTGATGTCTTGAGTGGAAAGCCGGGGTAATTTTCTTGGGAGTCCACAGACTCTGCTCAAGTTCCGGTAGCTTATCATAGTGCTGGGAATTCACTGGAATGCTTTTGCTTGTACCCAAGCAAGTAAAAGTCTGGACTCAACTTAATGTGTAATAAAACCAGTATGATACCTACAGGATAAAAGGCAACAGGTACCTTGATTCAGCATGGTAACATTATTTGTAAGCATTGAAAGAAAATGGCTCATACACTCAAATAGAAAAAATAAATGGTGTTCTGCTGTTAGGTTATGGAAACAGAGGTAAGAGGAGCCCTTGGATAAGCAGGCTTCTGTACCAAAGGAATAGAAAATAGCCATTATTCCTAGAATAAAGCAATTCTCGATTTACCAGTGTGCAAGAGAGCAGAGCTTGGCCATGAAGAGCCAAAGGGGAATGGCGAGAGACAGGTACAATTTTCAGTTTAGCATGTGGGGCTTTTTTAAAGATTATTCAGGCTTTCTAATTCTCTGAATGCTCAGTGTCATGGCACAGACCAGAAGATTTTATGCTCTAGTGTTAGACAGTGTGCTTTGCTATATGTTAGCGTGAATGCATCGACAAAAGCAGCTGGAGATCTTCTAGAAACCTCCTAGCTATCCTGGGAGAAAATAAAGACCAAAGGAAAAGATCTTTAACAGAGATGTTCTGAGCCCAAGCTGCCCCTCATTCCTGCTTCTGGACTTGGACCTTGGCCAAGAGCACTGGAAAAAACAGAAGGGGACATTAAAGGAGGTTTTGCCCCATGTTGAGGATGGTGACTTGCCATAGAATCATTGAATAGTTTGGGTCAAAATGGACCTTTAAAGGTCATCGAGTCCCCAACCCTCTTGCACTGAACAGGAACACGTTCAACTAGATCAGGTTGCTCAGACCCCCATCCAGCCTGACCGTGAATATTTCCAGGCATGAGGCATCCACCACCTCTCTGGGTAACCTGTG